GCACTTCATGTGTTAATTAATTTAGTCACCATAATGAGCATATGAAGGAGATTTTATTTTTCAGACCAAGGTCTATTGAGTTATGAAGAAATTGCCTAAGGCCACCCAGTGAATTATGAGACTGGTTATAATGAAGCAGGGGATCTAATCCTGCAGACTTCATCAGAGTTCTTGCCCTTAACCATAGCCCTTTGTTGAGTGAGGGATATATTGAAGTACGAGAATTCATCATCTTCATCTGTAGAGCCTAAACTTGTTTAATACAGCTTTAGGCAATAATACTGTTGGATTTCCATGACATCCTCAATATATAGATGAAAAGGATATGCCAAGAGCATATAAAAATGAGTAGACAGCTACAACCAACCACCTGAACAGGCCCAACTGATCTTGTGTGTTCTGAAGTAAGCAAGATTGGGCCTCCAGCGTGGGCTGGAGGCTACACCGTGGGCTGTGCCCCAATCCTAATCAAGTGTTTTATAAACCCTGGAACAGTTGATTTTGGCATTAAACACCATACACAGCATGAATAGATGGTCTGGATGTTTTATTCTCACTGCTCTTTTCTCCATCTGGCTGAGCTAGCTTAATGCAAAGAGCTGTTTTCCTGCATTCAGTCCCTGACTCCCTGACTAATGTCTTAAGAAAGTGTTTGAGACTTTATGATGTTGATTAATAAGTTAAAAATATATTACTTGACTACTCTAACCAATAAGAAGTGATGTGAAATCATCAGTAATTTTATATTTTCTACAACAGTCTCCTTTCCCTTAAGGAGCAGTGTGGGGGTGGGGGCGGGGGTGGTGTTTCTGACTGAGCATATTTGCTTAAGCAAGGTTTTAGACTGCATACTGCTTCTTAATCCAGCCTTGACAGGATGGTCTCAATAGAAGGAATGTTTTTTAAATAGTTTGATGCTTTCTAAGCCTGTCGGCTTAGGAATTACAAATCTTGACAAACTCTGGTGCTATATTAAATGACAGAAGTGCCACCATTGTGGCAGGGTCCAAAAGAGGGATGAGATTGCCATTGCAAGATGGCTATGCTTAGGATATGAGAACCTTATCCAGCTGCTTTTCATGAGGCCCAGACCATGAAGCAGCCTGATGCCTTGAACCAAGAGTCAGAATTGATGGGTGTGTCCTGGTGTGCTGCTGTTCCAGCTGAGTGTGGCCATCTGATGCAGGGGACATGCCAAGTGACTCTTCTGCCGTAAGAAAATAAATACTAAGTGCTCCAGCCTCAGGCTTCAGGGTTTCTCTGTGTAGCCTTGGCTGTCTTGAACTCTTTGTAGACCAGGCTTGCCTCGAACACATTCCTGAGTGCTGGGACAAAAGGTGTGCATCACCACACCCAGCTTTTTTTTTTTTTTTTTTTTTTTTTTTAACATCATTTTCTGTCGTGAGTTAAGGGAAATCTTATGAGATCTTCCATAAAAACATATCTTGGTCTGCTCCCACCAGTTTTTGGAAAGGTCTGCTGAGCTTAGTGTTAAGATATATAATCATCTACGCAGAGAAACCCTGTCTCAAAAAAAAAACAAACAAAATGAACGAAGACATATAATCATACACCCAATAGAAATTTGAACATATATCCGCCTAAAATGTCACAGCAGTATTTTTTATGAAGCCAAAAAATGGAAAGAGTCCACATGGCCAGCTGGTGAACAGATAAATAATATGCTGTGTTATCTATACCCTGCAATATTATTCAGCTATTAAAGGAATGAGCTCCTGACAAAGGCCTCCTAACACAAGCCTTGAAGCTTCATCTTCACAGAGTCCAATTGCAAAAGATTGCTTTGTGAGTGGTGATTCTCCAGAGAAACAGACAAGTGGGAATGATTTGAGGGGATTATTTGCAGGGTTGGCCAAGTCCAAATTTTGTATGAAAAGCCAGGCAGTCTATACTTAATTCCATCATCTTGAGGTAGTTTCTTAACTGCTGACCCCAGAACTGCTCCGAAGTCACTGAGCTAAGTAGGAGACTGCGGCTATTATGGGAGCTAACCTGACTGCACATCTTATAAGATTTCGTTTCTATTGAATGTAGAGATAAGTGCATAGCGAATAGAAAGTTCACTATGGTTGCCAGACCCATCATGACTCAAGGGTATGTGATTTCTTTTTGAGGTGGTTACAATATTCTGAAAGCCAATAGTGATTGCTCTAGTGAACTCTGAATATACCAAAAGTAATGGAAATTGTCGAATGCTGCCTGTGAGCTTTGTGCCTTAGTAAACTTGTATCAGGTGTTATATTCGCGGTAGTAGTTCTGAAACAGAGGAGCTCTCAATTCAGTTTACAAAGATGTGGACTAATTATAGAACCTGCTTGTATCCTAGTCTGGGTGACTAGAAAACACCTGGTGCTATCTTAGGATTTCTGTCAGGGATGAGTCAGCTGTCAACATTGCCATCATGCGGGATTTTCAGGTTGGATAAGGCCTGTCTTCTTGGCCAGCTGCTTTTTTTAGTTGACAAATTTAGTTGGAACTTGAGCTCATTTCAAGATACATTGTATTTGTCAGCCCTCTAATGAGCAGATCCTTTGGTTTTCCTCCCAGGATGTCATACACAGGATGGGAGAGCATGGGGCTGAGAGACTGTTAAACGTGAGATGGAGAGCATTGGCATTGGCAATGATAGAAGTCTGTGTACACAGGATGGGAGAGCATTGAGGTTTATAAACCACTGGCTTTTTCCACAAAGATGAGTTTTACTGTGACACACAGATTCAGAAGATAAAAGGGTGTCTGTCCTACAGAACAGAGAGGGCTGGAATAGAGCCCAGTAGTGGAGTGCCTGGCATGTGTGAGGCCCTTTTCTTTAGCACTGTGATTTAAAAAAATTCCTTCCCCATCAATTATGTCCCATGGTCCCAGGCATAAGAATTAGCTCTGTTTACCATGCCTCTTTAGTAGTAGATACTTAAGAAATGGATTATTTTTCTTCTGGGAGTCAAATCATCATTATTCCTGCTTTAGTCATTTTCCGAATGTAGTTACTTAAAAACCAAAGTACAGAAAAACACATCTGTGTCTGGGCAGTATTTGTGATCTTGGTGATATGGAAACCAGTGTAAAGGAGCTTGTGTAGCAAATTAATGTTTAATGAACTTCAATGCTACAGGTAAAGATTACAGTTAAGTCAGCCCTTTGTTTAGGTTTCTTGTCTTTCCCTCAATCGTCCCTGTCCCTTCCTGTTTTCTGTCTATATTTCCTACAGTATTGGGGACTAAAGTCAAAAAAGGAGCTGGTACATAGTAGACAAGCCTTCTACCACTGGGCAACTAGCCCAGCCCCTAGTGTAGAGGAATATTGACCCAGCGACGTGGCTGTTCCGGCGAGGGATAACATCCAAAGATGTGTGTGATCAGTCTGTGTGATCAGCTGGAATACGTACACACCTTTAATCCCTCTGCCTGGAATGTAGACACACCTATGGTGTATACCTTTAATCCCAAACGGTGGCCTCTAATTGAGGGACAGACAAAGGGATGAATCAGAGAAAGAAATGACAGAATGAGTCAGGGATAGGGGAGACCCAGCTCTCACGAAGGGCGGGAGGGGTTCTATTTAAGAGCGGCACAGATTTAGACAGAGGTGGACAGTATAGTACAGGAGGACTACAGTAGAGTTCCTGCAGTCAGTTTACGGCATTCAGGGGCAGTCTTTCCGAGCAGAGCAATTGAGTGAGAAGCCAATTGGAATCAGTCAGCTTAGAGAGGCCTTTGAACCAGAACAGCTGTCTGGGGATCAGGAACCAAGGGAAATGGGGTGAGTGGCGATGGAGCCCACCCAGAGTCCCAGGAATCAGACTCTGGAGACCAGACTCAGAGGTGCAGATCTGACTTTATTGTCCAGTGTAACAGCTTTAAATGATTGAAAGGTCAACCAGATCATCCCATGCCAGCCTCAAGCACCAGTAACAGTCAGTCAGGTTGGTGCAACTATAAGGAAATGTGGGAGATGGGGCAGGGGGCAGCATGATCACCTTAGGAGTCTTTCAGATCTATTTTAAGACTTCACTAGTGTGCTAGTGTAATGCCAAGATCACAGGAACTTCAGAGACCACCAGGAGACGACTCAATGCAAGAGCAAAAGAGCTTTATTACAAGAGCGATTGACCTCGGGACCCAAGTCTTACTGGCAAAGCAGTAGAGAAGTGGGACCCTGAGCCCTGAATAAGCAGGGTTTTTAAAGGGAAAGACTGTAAGCAGGGGGTTTCCATGAGAGAAAGCAGGGGGGTGCATGCCTTGACGTTACAGAATTGGGTAAAAGCCATAGGGGAGAGATGACCGTTTACATAATCACAATTGCCAGGGAGATTGTCTCTATTTTTTACTAAACATTTATTCTGTGAGTTTTCCTGGAGGCTGTTGCTAGAAGAGCTAACTTTGTTTTCTGCCAGGTGCACATTCTGTGATGTTTCCTGGTACCTGAATTCAGCTCCTGGTCAAGATAGCTCCTTATTTCAAAATGGAGTACCCAGGCTAACTTAAACTCTTAACTAGGCGTGTCTAGTGGATCAACACTGTGTGCAGTGAATCCAACCTTTTGAGGGGTTGTAGGAGGCACTGACACTTCACTAGCCATTCCCTATGGGCTTCTAAAAGGCTGACCTCGACATTCCCCACACAGCTGAGTCGAACCAGCCAGCCAAAGTCCAGAAAGAGCTGGAGAGGGTGAATTTACTCAGAAGGAAGTCTCATAGGCTGAAAACATTCTAGGCCTAGGTTAGCAGACAGGCTGGAAGCTGAAACCTCAAGGTCCAACCTTGCAGAAGATTAGATTGTATGAAGGCTGGAAGCTTCCTGGCCTAGGCCTAGGGATAGTTCCTTAGAAACGTTCTGGGCTCAGCCCAAGCCACGTATTAGTAAAGCTTGGGTACAGCTCTCATTCTTCCCATCATCTGATGAAATAAAAACAATATTTACATCCTAGACTATATTTTAAAGTTGAATTGCTTAATGCTTTTATTCTGCTTTTGTTTTTAGAAAAGATATAGTTTGGCAGTGGGGCCTCCCAAGAAAGACCCAAAAGTTAAAGGTGTCCAGTCAGCAGCTGTACAAGCTTTTCTTAGGAGGAAAGAAGAGGAGCTTAGACGAAAAGGTACGTGCTTATGCTGCTTCTCAGTTTCCATGTCTGCCGCCAAACCCGTGTGTGTTTGTAACAGCTTAGTAGTTTGGGGATGATGTGTATGTGTCTCTGGGTTATCTTTTTGGAAATGTGTGCACATCTGTACGCACATACATGTGCGTGCGTGTATGAGTGCTCATAGGTTAGTTATTTGTATTGTTTTCTATAACCCCATCCCACCCACTCCCAGGCTCCATGGAGTTCTAGTCACCTGTCCTCTCAAGTATTCAGCAGGCCAAGGCAAGATCATTCCTTGAGTTCAGGAGCATCAGAGCAGTCTTATTTCTTGAGGGAAGGTGGGGAGAGGTGAAAAGCCTTGGTATAGCAACCATTTAACTGGCCATAACGTATCTCCATTCTTTACCTTAGTTCTGACATTGTTGTAGGTAGTCATTGATTCATTCTTAACAACTTCAGTTACTAGTGTTCCATTGGCTTGGTGTATTATATATTTAAAGCAAAAACCAAGTCCCTTACCTGCTTAGTCATAAAGAGAAGCTCATATCTGACCCAGCTGTATAGAAATTACTCAGTTTTGTTAGATGACTTCCTCCTCTGACTTCTAGATATCTGGAAACTGTAACTGCGCATCATCTGTACTTTGACTGTGGACTGGTGTCGCATGAGCAGCTGCTCTCTGGAGACTGTTGGGATAATGTGCTCTTGTTTTATTCCTTTCAGCCTTAGAAGAGAAAAGGAGGAAAGAAGAACTAGTGAAGAAGCGAATTGAGCTCAAACATGACAAAAAAGCAAGAGCGATGGCCAAGAGGACAAAGGACAATTTTCATGGTTATGATGGAATTCCTATTGAGGAAAAGTCAAAGAAGAGGCAGGCAGTGGAAAGCCACCTGAACCAGGGACCTGACCAAGAATATGAGGTGGAGGACGAAGAGTTCCTAGACTACAGTCAAGCCGAATTAGACCAGGAATTTGAGGAGCAAGAGCCTCCCAAAGTTGAAAGCAAACCAAAGGCCCCCCTTAAAAGTGCCCCACCGCCCATGAACTTCACTGACCTGCTAAGGCTAGCTGAGAAGAAGCAGTTTGAGCCAGTGGAGATCAAGGTAGTGAAAAAAGCAGAAGATCGGCCCATGACTGCAGAGGAGCTTAGGGAGCGAGAGTTTCTTGAACGAAAGCATAGGAAAAAGAAACCTGAAACCGATGCCAGACTACCTCCAGCTGTGTCCAAAAGGGCACCCTCTCATAAAGACATGGTGGGCACAAAGCCCAGCAGAGGTGCTGGGGACAGGCAGCTTTCTTCCAAAGGATCGCCCTTTCCTCATTCTGAGAAGAAATCTAGACCCAGCACGGCCAATGAGAAACAAGTAGCTTTGTCTTCATCCAAAAATACACCAGGAGAGAGGACCAAGGCAGGACCTGGCAGTAGCTCCCAACCCTCACTTCGGGAGGGTCACGGCAGACCTGTCTTCAATGGGGCTGGGAAGCCCCACCCCAGCACCTGTTCACCCAGTGTCCCAAAGACTTCTGCTAGCGGGACTCAGAAATCTGCTTCTGAGCACAAAGCCAAAAAATCTCTTCCTTCTCATCCTAGCCATTCCAAGCTTGGGCCCACGGGTCTCTCCCACAACAAAGCTAAGAGTCCAGGTGTCCGACAGCCAGGCAGCAACTCCGGCTCAGCTCCTGGGCGACCTAGCCCAGGGACAGCTCGACCCACAGTTAGTTCTGGCCCTGTGCCCAGGCGCCAGGATGGCAGCTCCAGCTCAGGCCCTGAGCAATCAGTCAGTGGGGTCAGAAAGCTGGCGAGCAGCTCTCATCCCTCTGGACGAACAGTCAATGGCACAAATGGTCCCGGACGACCTGTGAGCACCTCAGGTGGCCCTGGGCGACCCACCACTGGTTCTGCTGGTTCTGGGAGACCTATGGGCAGTTCTGGAGGCCCTGGGCGGCCTGTAAATAGTCCACATGACCTTCGGCGACCATTGAACAGCCTAGGACCCCCTGGGCGGTCGTCAGTCAGTGGCCCTGGGAAAGCCATAAGTGGTTCTGTTCCAGCTGGACGAGCTGCCAGTTCAGGCCCTGGAAGACCGGTGAGCAGCTTAGGACCTGGAAGACCAGTTAGTAGCTCAGGCCTCCCCACAAAGCCCAAGTGCACTGTTGTCTCAGAAACAATTTCTTCAAAGAATATTATTAGTCGGTCAAGCAATGGACCGATAAATGGAATGAAGCCTCTCCTGTCTGGCTACAGAACTGCCCAAGGTAAAACTGACCCTCTTCCTAAAGAGTATATTTATCACTAGGCCATTGGCCAGGAACCCTGTGACCACTTCCACGTGCCCTGTAATGTGCTCGTTGTTGATGGTAGAAAAGAGGCTTATCTAGGCTCCACTGCTCACACCTCACCTCCTTCTCTCACGTGTAAATCTGGCTTTGTGATTTGTGAGAGAAGGCGGTGGTTTCATGGAGAGGATAATGTTTTACATAAAGATGACATAGTAATTATGAGCCTTGAGCTTTTGCTGCTGTGTTCAGACAGCAGATGCCTGTTCAACACCTGTCCTGTGCCAGCAGCTGTTTTAGACTATCCTGAGATCTGTTCACTTTAATAGGCGTTGTGAAGAGCCTTGTCACTGGTGCTTTAGGAATGTGCCAGCTGCCTGCAGTAGATCCTGCATGCTGCAAAGGGGCTTGGTAAAGCTTGTTAGGCTCCATGAAGAGGATAAAAAGAAACCAAGGGCAACATCCCTTGCTGTATATTCCACAGACTAGAAAGTTGCTCTCACTGTCCATTGATGAGTACCCGTCTTTTGCTCTTCTGTTTGGGGGTTGTTTGCTTGTTTATTGTTGTTTTGTCTTGGTTTGTTTTGTTGACCTGCAACCTGGATACCCCTGTATTGCTGAGGGTGGCCTTTAACGTCTGACCCCTGCCTCTGCCTTCTGAGCGCTGGGGTCACCAGTGCAACCCTGCTGGCCTGCAGTGCTGAGGCCCCAGCCCAGAGCTTCATGTGCCCTGGAAGCTCACTGCTGAGCTACATCCCAGCTCATTGTTTCACTTTTATCAGTCGGTAGGCAAAAATAGGATGATGAGGTTTTTATGCAGTCATGCTTTCAACTCTCTCTTTCTCTCGGAACAATGAGAAATTAAAAATACTTTATGCTTGGGATGTTTGTTTTTTTTTTTTTTTCTTTTTTAGGTTGTAGTCTTGCTATGTTGTCCAGGGCTTCTTCAAACTGATGGCTCAAGCTTTCAAGGCTAGCTAGCTGAAGTTACAGGCCTGTGCAGGGCTTTGAATTGTTAAGTAAAATAGTAGGAAAGATAGGGAACTACTTTGGGTCATTTATTTTGTAGAATTAAATATTAATGATTCTGTAGCAGTTTGTAACTTGACTTAGTTTCAGAGCTTTTACTGATCTTTTAAACCCACAAGTCTGAATAACTAAGCTAGAAAACATGGCAAGGCACCAGGGCATGCCTAGTGAGCTGGAAAGAAGAGCTCAGTCCCTTTAGACACTGATGTAGCAGGGACACCGCAGCCTGCGCAGAGCCAGCCTGTGTGTGTGCCTTCAGGGGTGCCATCTTAACGCCAGCTGCTCTGACTTCCAGCCACCTGCAGGAGATAGTTCTTCATGCTGTGTTCTTAGAAGCTGTGGCTTTTGTTCTTAGGTCCTCACAGGCTTCCTTTCCCCACTGGCTACAAACGGCCTCGAGAGTATGAAGATGATGATGACGACGATGAATATGACTCAGAAATGGATGATTTCATCGAAGATGAAGGAGAACCTCAGGAAGAAATATCCAAGCACATTCGAGAAATATTTGGCTATGACCGAAAAAAGTAAGCTGAAGATTTACCTAAATGTAAACTTAGAAACCTTAACAAGTAGAGGCGTAGAGTGTGTAGGTGGAAACCATTGATTGGCTGGTTGTTCTAAAAGCTTTCATCTTAGAGCATGGGCTGAGTAGTTTTACTGCCAGCTTGACACAGGGAGAGCATGGCATAGGGAGAGGCCTTGGATTGAGAGCATGCCCCTTCCAGGCTGCCCTTTAGGTAAGCCTGGGGTGCATTTTCTTGATAATTGATTGGGGAGGCCCAGGCGCAGTGGGGCCTGGATGCTATACCAAAGCAGGCTGAGTAAGCTCTGAGGAGCAGGGCCAGTGAGCAGGCTCTGCATCCCTGATTCAGAGCCCTGATTCAGGTCTTGCTCTGACTTCTCTCCGTAATGGACTTACAAGCCATACAGTAACGTAAACCCTTTCCACCCAGGGTTGGTTTTGGGCACAGCAATAGAAACCTTACTAACAGAGAACACAGGATAGTTTCTGATGGATTCAGAGTAGTTTTTGTGACATTTGGATGTCAGCTGCTTTCTTTAAAAGAAGATAGGGAATCAAGCAGGTTCAAGTAATAGAAATAGGTGGGCTTTGAAGTCAGAAAGTCATTCACAGAGCCATAGTAAAAGTCCCTCTGATCTGACACCTGCTTTTCTTGAGTGTAATGTTTTGCTTTCAAGAATGTGGACCTGGTCACCATTATGGGACCATCACTATCACTGATGTCTTAGGAGCTAGTTGAAATGTCAGGCTCTCAGGCCCCACCTCAGTGTTACTAAATGCAAATCTGCTTTTAAAGTCCCCAGGTAAGGGTGCATATGTTTAAAAGTTTTGTGAGCCATTAGTGTAAAGAAACAGTCAGGGCCTGAAATAAAGCTTCACCATATCCTCTTGAGGTAAACTGAAGGAATATTTTCAGATAGCCCTTTGGAGGAGTTAAGTGAGGTTGTGTGTGTATAAGACAGATGAGACCTATCACATTTCCTATGACACGCTGATTGTACATCTTTAGAAGGCCCTGGAGAAACTAGGCCATCAGAAAAACTTTTAACATCCAAGACAGGCAGAACATCCCAGACACTTAGTGGGGGGAGGAGGACCCTGTTCCGAGCTGGTGCGCTCAGGGCCGCAGTACTGTCTGCTCACCTTGTTCCATGTTTCTGGCCACACTGTTAACTTACCTGCCTCAGTGTACTGTTGGGAAGTTCTCGTCTCCCAGTGGTCACGAAGGTCTAATGAGTTTAATATGAATTTTCAGGTTGTGCTTTCAGGATTGTAATTATTAAATACATGTAGGGGGCCTTGTTGGGTTTGGTGCTTCTGTTAATGCTGGGTTCAGAAAGAGTAACACCTAAAGAGTAAGCACCTAAAGCTTGTTTAATTTCTTTGCTGCAAATGCATTTTCTACCCATTGTCTGGCCGTCTCCCAAACAAGGCTGCAGGAATGGTAAAACTGAGTGTTTTCGTTGTAAGCATGTTTGGTTTGTTTTTGTTTTTTTTGTTTTTTTTTATTTGTTTATTATTTATACAGTATTTGACCTGCATATATGCCTGCATGCCAGAAGAGGGCACCAGATCTCATCTTAGATGGTTATGAGCCACCATGTGGTTGCTGGGAATTGAACTCAGGACCTTTAGGAAGTATAGCCAATGTTCTTAACCTCTGAGCCATTTCTCCAGCTCCCATGGTTTTGTTTTTAATAAGAGGCTATGGCTCTTTAAATTTGTTCATTTTTTACTTTGTTCTTGCCAGATACAAAGATGAAAGTGACTATGCCTTACGTTACATGGAGAGCAGCTGGAAGGAGCAGCAGAAGGAAGAAGCCAAGAGGTAAGCAGGAGAACTGGTCCATTATGTCAGAACATCCTGAGAAGCCTTCACCTGCAGGTTTGGAATGGGGTCCTCGGCCACAGTGGTGCTGCCGTTGGCCAGCTTTCAAAGCCGTAGACAGAGTCCTTGCCTTCTGAGGTTTTCCCGTATGTAAAATGAGAATATATTGCTTTACTCACTGAGGCGTTGTAGGGGTCAAGACAGTGTGTAGGCCAGGTGCTCGCAGTGTCTCATGTGTGATGTACAGTGAAATTGGAAGTCTCCTCGGGTCTGCAGCTATGGGCTGTTTGCTTTTCTCTGCCCGTCACACTTGTCTCAGTCTTGGAACGTGTAGCTTTGCTATCTCAGAGACCCAGGAGTAGACTAGATTCCCTCCACCTCCTTCTTGGGGCTGTCCTGAGAGTAACATCATTACTTTGCTTACAGTATTAATGATAATTCCCTATTTTATAGAGAAATAATTCCCCTCAGTCCCAACACAAAACACTAAATGGCTTTCTTTCTCTCTTGACCTATAACTAGATAAAACATCAAAATAAGGATTAAGAAAGACGAATATGGATTATTACTAATGACTGTTTCCTGGGTGTTTATAGGTTGTGTGTGTATAGGTTACTTCTTTTCTACCTTTATGTGGGTGCCAAGGATCAAACTCAGATCAGGAGGCTTTTTTTTTTTTTTTTAAGTGTTTTTGAGAAGGGTGACTCTGGTTAAGGACAACTGCTCTTGTGCAGGGCCAGAATTCAGTTCCCAACACCCGTATCAGTAGCCCACAACTGCCTTTACCCAGCTCAGCTCCTTGGAATCTGCCCTCTTCATCTGCACTCATGATGTGCTTTTTATTCTTGTTGTTGGAAACAGAGTTTCTCTGTGTAGTCCTGGCCGTCCTGGAACTCAATGTGTAGACTAGATTAGCCTCAAACTCACAGAGACCCAACTCCAAGTGCTGAGATTAAAGGGGTACACCACCTTGCCTGGCCTCACAGTTTTGTTTGTTGTTTTCACTTTTTTTTTTCCTCCCCCTCCCCCCGAGCTGAGGACCAAACCCGGAGCCTTGTGTTTGCTAGGCAAGCACTCTACCACTGAGCTAATTCCCCAACCCATTTTTTTTTAATTTGAAATAAATTTATATCTTATTTCTTTAAATGTGGATATTAAAACTTTTTCCTTATTCTTATTGTGAAATTTTATTTTAAAGTCTTTGTCTGTGATCCTGTTTTAAATTCTATGTATGCATGTATATCCCTGTTGCATGAGCAAACTCATTAGCACAGTCCTCATGAAAGTCCAGTTGAGATGCCCGTCTTGCTCTTTAAAGTTGTAATTTCATGTATATTAACAAATATCCTTTAAAACAATTTCTCCATAGTTTAAGGCTAGGTATGCAAGAGGACTTAGAGGAAATGCGACGTGAAGAGGAAGAAATGAAGCGTCGTAAGGCCAAGAAGCTGAAGCGACATTAGCTGCTGCTGAGTTTGTGAATTCTGGGACAGCGCTGCAAGGATGTCCTGCCTTCAGGCTGAACAGGCCCCTTACCAGTCCAGATTGATAGTGGCCACTCGAGGAAGGCATGCATACTGTCGTTTGCAGGCTATCGTTTGAGTGTCCACTGTTTTCAAATAGTCCAGGGTGGGATCTGCAGTGCAGATGCTACCGACAATGCTGGCCGTGTGCTCTGTGGAAGCTAACTGTTCGCAGGGGCTGGCCTTGATTCTCATGAGCTATGCACGCTAATGTGGGACCACTCACCAGCCAGCTGCTCTGTAACTGTTCCTTTGCTACTTTAAAAGGAGACAATTGATGTGTGAGTAGGGTACTACCCAGATCCCAGTCAGACTAGTCCTTATGAAGGGCATGGCCCTTCTGTGAATGCTGCCAGCAATAAAGTGACCTGTCCTAGTCTATGTTTGAGTTGAAAACCCAGGAAAGAGTAGGCTTTATACATGGATCTCATCCTTACGACTTTGACGTACAAAATAGAACGAATTATATTGTATTCAGCATTATCTATGAATTGGATGCTAAGCATTCTTAATTTATAGTAGGTAATAAAATTTTTTAAAGTTAAAATACAAATTTTGCCAGAACAAGAATATTCTTTTCCAGTTTTCCTTTCAGGCTTCCTGTCACGTTGACTTTAGTATGAAGTAGATAAGGGCCCTTGCTGTTGTGTTGTTTTTGTTGTTGCTGTTGTTTAATTCCTTTTTATATTAAAGAAAGATGGTTATCCAGATACTAGATTTGAAAGATTAATAGTTTAAAAATCAACAAGAAGCAACATGTGTTGTGGCCACCTCTGCTTTATTCTCCCCATTAAAAAGCTTTTTAGGACCCTAGGGTGACCCTGTACCTGTTAATAACATTGCATTTTTAGCTTAAATCCCTTAGAAAATGTTAATGACCAAAAAACCAAAAACTAAATATTTAGCGTATCAAGAGTACCACCTTCTCTTTTGTCCATATTGCACTTTCATTTCGAACTATGCACTGTGACGAGATACTTTTTCCTGTTGTTGTTTTACTGAGCTGTGAAACCTTAAGATCTATCCTGCTTCAAGTCAGACCTGCAGACTTTCTAGTCCATCCATGCTAAACGATGGTCTGGCTGGAAGGAAGCCATGTCTCAAGAAGTCAGCAACAGAAAATGAAGTAGTATGCTAGAGACTCAAGTGTGGAGGGTTGGAATAGCCAGAGTTCAGTTCGTGGGACAATTCCACAGTGAAGCTGGCTGTCATAAGCTGTTAAGCCATGAGGGGTAGGAGCTGATAGAGGGTGTCCTATAAGGAACTCTTATTTTTCAACAGGTCCAGATTTTTTATGTATTTTGTCCATGGTGTCTTCATTATTTAAGCTTGAGTATTATGGGTGACCATTTTTAGCCTATGTGGGACCATTTGACCCATACCTTAAAGCTAACTCATTGTGAGCTGAGTTTCAGACTTTGAAAGTGCAAAGATTTGATTTGATTTTAGAGGGTATAACACTCTCACTCTCCATGTAGATCTTTACACACTGGTAGCAGAAAGCCTTCTTTTTTCCTGTCCCACCACTTATGTAAAGGGTTAGACATTCCCCGTGGTAAAGTGGGTGTGGAACATGATTTTACTGCCATCACGTGTTTCCCCGTCCTTCATGATTTTTCTTGGATAACCTTTTTTTAATACTCATACTCTGGAATCTGTTATTGCAGTCAAGGTTTCTGGTGGCTGGAAGTTTACTGTATGCAATTACAGGGTACAGCTGTTTGCACAGAAAGGAGCCATTGTGCTGGAATAAAGTTTTAGACTTCGGTAGAGTCAGGCTGTAATGTTTGTCATGTCTGAATGCATTTCTGTAACAGGTGTGCGTCAGCTTCTACACCAGTATGCTTGTGTGGCTTGTTGAAAACACGGGAAAGAAAGATTGTAAGTCCAAACCATGTCTTCCCTTTTGCTCTTCTGTATTCCCTGGCCACTTAGAAAAAGCTCACAAGCCTTTGAAGAAAGAGGAGCAGGCTATTTGTTTCAGGGTTTACAAATTAAGTGCTTGATTTTTAATGTATTCTCTCTACTGTTTTGATTTTCGGATTTTGATTCAATATTTGAAGATGTGCCTTTTATTGGGTAATGTTAATTCTCGAATGTGGTGGTGTTGTCTCACAGACGTAATGCTACATGATCGTGGGTGTGGCATTCTCTAACAAATTATGTGACAAGAAAGTAGTTTTCATAAAACTCATGGCTCTGATTGCACAGTCCCACTTGCTAAAGCAAAGGGCACCTTCTTTTAAAGCTACTTCAGAACTGGTCTTTGTATTTTCTCTAAGCGATGTATGCAGTCATGTCTGTGTAGAGGCAGGGAACCACCTGTCACAGGCAGCCCCACATGTGTGCCATGAGAAAGTCCAAAGACTGTAACAAAGTCTACGGAACTCAAAATTTCGTTTTTGTAATATTAACCCCTAAGATTTCCTCCAAGAAATGAATTATTTTGTATTTTATAACTTAAAAGCAGCTAGTAGTACATTTCTGAGATATAGCAGGAGACCAAAACATTTTTGGAAAGAGAATGACTATATAAAGAGAGACTGGTTGTTTTATTTTCAGTGTGCTGATTAGACTATTTATTTTGTGAGTGGATGTGATAAAATACATATTCAGGTGTTTAGTGTATAATTAAGAGTGGAATATAGATTTCTTTGGAGTTACTAAATCCATGATGTCTTTTACATAATGGACAAATCAAATGTAAAAGAAGAAAACTTTGACATAGCTTAGCTTGTTTTCTGGTGCTGTTGACCTGCAGAAGAATATACTTTTGCATATACAGGTGAATGTTTTGCAATTTATGTACACAAGAAATTGTAGGCATTAAAATATTTTATTGATATTTTTACTCTTTTTCATTTATTGATCAAAACTTGAAGCTATTCCTTATCCCCTGGAACACTGCTAGCTAGAAACCTCTGTGGGTCTGTCAGGTTCTGAGGTCAGGGGTGCCCCTGACTTCAGCCTACCACTGACTTCTCTTTCTACCACTAGCTAGAGTGCCATTGTGTTCTCAGACACCAAGTTTAAAAATAAAAGTTAGCTCAGTGATTAAGAGCACTCGTTACTCTTGCAGAGGACTCAGCACCCACATGGTGGTTTCACAACCACCCATAATGCCAGTCCCAGGGGATCTGACACCTCATCTCCACCAGTGCCAGGCATGCAGGCAAAACACTCAAAACATAAAATACATTAAAAGCAACAACAAAAAGGTGGTCAGAGCAATGAAATCTAGCTATGTGGCTCAGGGTTTGGCGGTTTATTCGCATGGAAGAGAAACAGCAGCAGTGGTGTATAATTCCTCTTGTCAGAATATCAGTTCAAATCTGTGACACAGGAGCTAGAGAAATGGCTCAGTGGTTAAAGCTGCTCACTGTACAGCCACAAGAATAACAGGCAGCACACATAAACCAAACGAGCGTCCTGCAACCACTTGTAAGCCAGCTCCAAGGGCGGCTGGACAGGACCACTGGCACTTGCTTCTTCTAGCCTAGCCTGGGAAACAAAAGCCTCCAGTTCAGAAACACTCCTTGCCTGGCGGGAATAGGCAGCGATGGAGGACACCCTGTGCCTGCTGCCTCGGTACATGCATACATGGACAGATGGGTGACAGTGAAACGATGAGTCCTTAGGAATGTACATGAGGCTGGTGGACACGCCCATGCATCCAGAGACCATACATGCAGAGAATGTAGCTAATGACCCATTGCAATGTGCTGAGGCTAGATCATGTGGGAAATACGAAAGACAATGGTGTCCAGATCCCCAAATTACTAAGAGTTGCATGTACTGATTTTGCATTCATTTTCCTTCCCATAGGAAGGGTAATATTAGGTGCTAGGGAGATAGACTGAAATGTAAACCTGTGTGCTTGCCACAAAAAGGAGTCTCTGCATTCAGAGCTGCCGCACCCACATGCAAGGGAGGCATGGTGGCATACATTAACTCCAGTACTCTGGCTCTCCAGCCGGCCAGTCTAATCAAAGTGGCAAGTCCCAGGGTCGGTGGGACACTGCCTCAAAAATAAGGTGGAGAATGAGAAAAGACAGACACTGACTGTTGGTCTCCACACAGGCAAGCGCACAAACAGCATAACCCTCTTGGTGCAGAACCTTGTGACAGATGGTAAAAATATCAAATAACAGTGTTTTCTGGGTAAAGTACAGGGCTGCTTTGCTGGGGCAGGTCTGTTCTCTTACAGTGGAATCATCAGTCACCAAAATATTTTTCTTGCCCCATCTCATCCTCCCCACCACCATCTCACTCATCTCAATTTTAGAGGGCTTAAAGTCGAGGCTCAGACTCCTGTTTTATTAGCTGCTTGAATCTTAGGCTTCTATCCCTGCACTCAAATTCACTGAATCACATTGAGAGTTGAAGCCATCTTGTAAAGGATCCTGAGAGGTCTAGAGAGCTGGCTCAGGTTAAGAGCATGAGCTACCCAAGAGCTCTTACAGAGGACATGAGTTCATTCCCTGCTCCCACATTGGGCAGCTCACAACCACCTGGAACTTAAACTTTAAACTCCAGGAGGACCAGAGGCCTCTGGCCTCCAGGGCACACAGCACTTGCATTGAGTCCCAGTACTTGGGAGACAATCTTTTAAAAGACTCATTGGGAAACTTCTTCGCCTCTTAGGTGAGGGAGCAACATTGATCTTGTTTGACCCTGGCCTTAACACATAAGACATGAGTGTTCCTGGAGATAGCCTGCATCTGACTGCTGTGCTGGCCAGACGCCTGAGCTGTTGAGCTTCTCTTAGTCACTTTGTAAATGAGGCCTGTACCCAGCCAGCTTCAGCAGGTTCGGGTGAGGGATTGAAATCTCACTTTAGCATCTCTCCCAATATCAAATGAGTCATTCACACACAACTGCCCTCCCCACATGGGGTCGTTTTTACATTTGGACCCTGGACTTGGGGTATGTTATTTGGGAAGTGGGTCTAAAAATCATTATGCATACATCATTATGATTACAGAACAGAGGACAATTTAAAGGAGGTATGTTGGCCTTCAGTACCAGCCTTAGAGGCTTCGACAAGTAGAACCTGGTCATCACCTAGTCACTCACCTACTGACTCACCCTGTCTCCATTAAGAGAATGTTGTCTTAGTTCATCTTAAAAAGTGTGGTAACCACACAGAATATGACAAAATAATGTGCGATTACTTTATGTGAAACCTACAACAGGAACTGTGCACTTCAGTGATCTTCACAGCTGCATGACTTCACCAGGGTCATCTTTGTTTATTTCCAGAGGGGTCTGAGGGGAAGAGAAGCATTATGTCAGGAGGCGCCGGCATTGCTAGGGTATAGGGCTCTGTGGAAGAGGTGCTTGACAACTGTGGGAGCTGACAGTTCAGAGATGTCTGCCACCAGAACCCACTCGGGGCTGGTTTGCAGAAGTGGGCTGGTCTAGGAAATAACGTTGAAGGCTAAACATTTTAAACATCCTGTCAGCATTACAGAGGTTGGCTTTGGCCCTTTACCTACTTCTTAAATAAGTAAGTGGCTCAGATTGTAGCTGCCTAGCGTCCAGGAGGACCCAGGCAGCCTCGGGTCCATTCCCAGCTCGCTTGCGTCCAGCTTAGGCTATGGGAGACAACTGGTCCTTAAAAGTCTCATTCACTAAAAAATAAGTACATGAAAGAAACCTAGAAAGCTCCCAGTTCTAAGTAGAGTAGCTAGCAGCAGAAGCAGGTAAGTTACAGGAGCATTTTCTCACATTCTGAAAGGAATCTGTTTCTAAGGTGAGTAGGGTTCGATTTTCATGCTTCCTGTGGTAAAGCCAGGGATTCTCCCACAGTAAAGAAGTCAAAGTACACTTACCCCTCCTGGGGGATATTTATATCCCTTCCACATCGTTCCTGCAATGAGAACCATCCATAAGACAACGATCATGGTGGGCCCTCTTGGCTGCTGGGGGCGGGGCGGGTTACTGGAAGGCCTGGCTCTACTTGAAGTGTCCTGGGAATCTCTGGCTTCATTCCAGACCGGAAAGTGGGTGGCCAAGCATGGCAGTTCCTGACTGGTGAGCTCTGTGGTTTAATCTAAACTAAAATGGCTATTTCGGGAGGCAAAGCCCAGACAGCAATTGTGACATCAGGTCCTGTGACACCAGGGCCTCAAGAGTGAGAGCAGCAGTGGGTTAGCCAGGATGCTAGGTATGTTTGGATGAAAGAAATTTCAAAAGGGAGCTCCTCTCAGCCAGGCACAGTGGCGCAAGCCTGTAATCACAACACTCAGGGAAGCAGAGGCAAGTGGCAAGTGGCTCTTTGTGAGTTAGAGGCCAGCCCGGTCTACAAAGCCCAGGACAACCAAGGCTACACAGAGAAACCCTGTCTTGGGGGGAAAAAAAAAGGTGATACTGTCACACCTTAATAAGCCATTATATGATTGGTGTGTATTGGCTTAAACAAATCAAAGGCTTTGAATAACAAATCAAAACCACCCAGATTTATTGGAGGAATTAACCAACCAGGTGGACAACAACTTTAGGTTACTCTTAAGCTACCCAAAGAAGAAAAGTCTTGCATTTTGTGAAATGACAATCCAGCCCTCTTCATGTGGCCTCAGCCTCCTGAAAGACAGGACGGGCTGCTTCTGGTGTTCCCTCACAGCTAGGGAATAATTTCTGTGGCTTAGAGTCACATTCTGTGGCAATGGCTGAGCTGAACACATGTCACTTCATCACACCCACATCAAACCCCCGCTTTGCACCAGCGGGGCTCACGGGGAACCAAAGGCCAGCTGTCATTTCCTGCCCTTACTATACCTGAGGCTGGGGTTGCCCCTGCCTTCTTGGGTAGTTTCCCCCAAATCCTTTTGCTTTTGACTCAGCATATCGAGACTACCAAGAGTAAATTCTCTAACAATGGCACTGCTCTTAAAATAAACTCACCAACCCAGGTGAGTTGGTGCACGCCTGTGATCCCGACACTCTGGAAGGCAGAGGCAGGCAGATCGCTGTGAGTTGAAGGCCAACCTGGTCTACAGAGTGAGTCCAGGACAGCCAGGGCTACACAAAGAACCCCTGTCTCAAAAAAAAAAAAAAAAAAAAAGAATCTGGGTGAAACGGGTGGAGTGCTGGAAGCCCAGGTGTGAAACTGCTGACAGGGTGTCCTCTCTAACACTGAGAGCAGTGCCCTCAGAGGCCTGGCTGCCTGGCTTTCCAGCAGCGTTGAGGGGGTGGCACAGTGGTACAGGTACCTGAGGCCACTGAGACCAGTAAGTGTTCATTGAGAGGTTCTCATTTCACTTAGTTCAGTTTTTAGTTTACTAACTTTGAAGCTTTGCATTAAACACCTTACATGGATTCCCAAAATGTGATATTCACAAAAATAGTAAGAGACCAAGATAACTCCCATTGTGCCAGTGAAGAAACCACCATTCAGAAGATTTAAAACTCTCAAGTTCACTCAGCAAATTGCAAAGTTAGGGCTTGATCTCGGGTTTATTTTAACTCGAGCCTCGCAGTCCTCCCGAACAGGCATTATGAGTGCTCATTTTGAAATGATCTACTCGAAGAAGTTACCGACAACCTCACTGATTATGCCAATTAAAAGCATCTGAGTCCATTTATTAATGGCCAGACCAAGAGTGGGCTTGTGCCTCCAAAATGTCTCTTAGTGCCCAAGCTCAGGTGTACAGCATGGCTTTTGTTTGTTTTGTTTTGTTGAGGTAGGATTCCTCTGTGTAGTCTTGGCTGTCCTGCACTTGCTTTGTAGTCCAGGCTGGCCTCGGGCTCACAGAGATCCGCCTGCTCTGCCCCCCAAGTGCTGGGATCACAGGTGTGTGCCCTCACACCCAGCATGTACAGCGTTTTAAAAGACAAACGCCACAATTACACCATCTGTGAGGGTTTTGGGGTGGCCTAGTAACATCTGTTTTCTTGCAAAACTCAGCAGTGTTTTCCAGATACTACATGACAGTCATCTTTGATTTACACTTCCCCTTAGTTATTTTAGCTTTATGTTTTAGCTTGCACAGGCAAAACAGTTATTGCCAAGGAAGATATGGCTGTTGGGGGGTAGAGGGGCGGGCAGAAGGCTGAGAGGTGTCTCAGCAGGTACAAAATAAGGTTGTGGCAAGATGGCATGGCCTTGCTCATTCATGAGCCATGTAGCGTGGCACATGACTGTAAAGCCAACACCCAGCAGGCAGGGGCAAGTGGATCTCTGTGGTGGAGTTTGAGTTACCTAGCCTGATTTACCTAGTGGGCTCCAGGGGCTAGAAAGTGAGGGCTTGTCCCAGAAAAAGAAAAAGATAGGGAGCCGGAAAGATGGCTCAGAGGTTAAGAGCACTCTTCAAAGGTCCTGAGTTCAATTCCCAGCAACCACATGGTGACCCATTACCATCTATAATGAGATCTGGTGCCTTCTTCTGGTGTGCAGGCACACATGCAGGCAGAATGCTGGATAAATAATCTTTAGGAAAAAAGAGATACAGAAAAGGCTCCATTTAGAAAGAGAAAGGAGATGAGGGAGGAAAACCAGAGAAAGTAAAGAGGAGGGGGGTAATACAATCAGTTTATTATATACATGGATACACAGATCCTTTAATATAATTGTTTTATACATGAATGATAAACTATGCTAATACAGTGTTTGTGAAAGCGGAATAATGAATGGGTCTTGCCCAGGAGGAACCCTGTGACGCATGGCTGGTGGCGGGCAGCTGACCCTCAGCCTGCCATCCCCGGCAGTAAGCCCCCAGTCCTCTCCCCTAAAATGCCTGAATCCCAGAAGGGTAAAACTGGCCCCCTGAGACTGAGGACGGGGGACCCAGCCCCACAGACCTCATCACTCACAACAGCAGCTCCTCCTCCACAGCTTGGCTCCTTCGTCGTAGCTTGTTCTCCCGAACAGGCCACCTCTCTTTCCACTTCAGAGTTGGAGGCTGAGTCAGAAAGAAAATTAGAGTTAGACATGACTCCACCCATTGACGCCAAGGACAGTCAGTGTTTCTGTGATTGGGAGAGCCTGCTCAAAACACACACACACACACACACACACACACACACACACACACAGCCCACTGTCTCTCACAGAAACTCCTCATGTACTTGGTTTGATACTCTGAAGTTAGGCACTGTGTCCAGAAGAGCTGTAAAATGCTATAAAAAAAAAAAAAAAACCACCACAAAACTCAAAATAAAACCAAATCAAAACAAAACCTAAAAATGTCATAAAGCCTGGATACAAATGACATTATCTATCCAAGCAGAGGGAGGAGATATTAAGCCCTCCTAAGAAGGACGCCCCAATGGGATGAGAATATACCAGCCTCGTTTCTGTCACATCCTGACTTCCAGTCAGTGGTTAAAAAACAAACAACAAAAACCTCTCCTGTTTCAACAGAAATCCAAGATGGGAGCATGAGGCAGAGCCAGACCCAGCAAGGCCGGGAGGCTGGTGCTTACCATGGCCTCTGGAAATGTTCCCATGTAGGCCGAAAGCCCAACAAAAAGCATCCAGCCCAGCACAATCATTACCAAAAGAAAAATAATTTCTGAGCCACAATCACACAGTGAGAGACTGTTCGCCAAGATCTTGGCAAGGGAGCGAACTCATGAAACCTTCAGTTGATAGACGGGTCGTGTGTTAGTTCCATTCCTTGGTTCCAAAGGATCTAAGACTCTCTACTGAGGAAGCTGGAGTCTGGGAAGGCATTGTGACATCATTGGTTGTGAGGCTCGGATTCAGCCTGCCATAGATACCCCCCCCCCCCGTAAGCTCTTTGTGTGTGTTACTGTACAGCACTACCACAAGGTGGTACGTTGTTACAGCCCATTTCACCAGTGAGAGAATGAAGGCCCAGAATGCCCACGCAGCTTACGCCAGCCGCGCCAGGGCACTCTACCAATGTGAGATCAGATTTGGAGAGGTGTGTCACGATGATCACTGCCAATAAGCAAACAGGGTCTTACGCAGTCTAGGCTGGCGTCAGGCTTGCTACATAGCCAACATTGTCCTTGGACCCTAATCCACTTTTTCCATCTACCTCTATTTTCATCCCAAGACCTCTCTTCCTATCTGGAAGATGGGGATCCTCTGGAAGAAGAGCAAAGCTTCCTCAAAGCACTTAGTACTCAAATTCTTCAGTGCCCATGCTCAGTTCTTCACTGGTCCTCTTTTCTAGGCTATCAAAAGCCACAGGCTTTTCTGGTCTTTTCAAAGAAAGAAAGGAAAGAACGAAAGAATGAAGAAAGAAAGAAAGAAAGAAAAAAAGAAAGAAAGAAAGAAAGGAAAGAGAGAGAGAAAGAAAGAAGCCTCCAATTAATACAATGGTTTGCTTCCCAACTGTCCTGGGACCAATTTCCTTTCATGATCAAACTTCCTAAATAAGTGGTCTACATGCAAGTCCCTCCTTTCTTTTTTTCTTTTAGTTTTTCTTTTGGTTTTTCAAGACAGGGTTTCTCTGTGTAGCCCTGGCTGTCCTGGACTCACTCTGTAGACCAGGCTGGCCTCGAAGTTACAGAGATCTGCCTGCGTCTGCCTCCCTGAGTGCTGGGATCACAGGCATGTGATGCCATGTCCGGCTAAGTTCCCCCTTTTCAATGTACACGTTTTCCCATGTGTTTGATTATGATCTAGCTCCTACCTTGGAACTAAATGTTCGATCAGACACCACCAAAGATCTCTCTTTGAGTCTGTGTGAAACAGCACCCGCTTTGTCACCTCTGACCTCCACATACTGCTTAGTGCTGGACATCCGCTCTCTACTCATACTCATGTTCTTCCCATATGTGTGCAACTCCAAACATCCATGCAGAAGGCTGCGGAGGGTCCTGCCTGACTGAGAAACTTGCTTTCTCCCTGTAGCCATACAAACGGGTCATTAAAATGAATCTTGCAGAACCATATGTGGTGTCATGTAATCCTAGCACAAGGGGGGTTAAGGCAGGAGGATTGCTGTGAGTTCACGACAGCTTTATAACAAAACTTGCACTTTTTCTTCTTCCTTCCTTCCTTCCTTCCTTCCTTCCTTCCTTCCTTCCTTCCTTCCTTCCTTCCTTCTTTCTTTCTTTCTTTCTTTCTTTCTTTCTTTCTTTCTTTCTTTCTTCTTTTTCTTTTACTCTGTGTAGCCCTGGCTGCCTTGAATGAGCTCTGGGATTAAAAGAGATACATCACCATGTCTAGCAGCTGCTGCTTCTTCTCTTCTTCCTCCACTTCTTTCTCCTCCTCTTTTTCTTTTCTTTTTCGAGACAAGTATTCTCTGTGTAACAGCCCAGGCTGTCCTAGAATTTGTTTTGTAGACCTCACTGGCCTCAAACTCACAGATATCTGCCTCCTGAGTGCTGGGATTAAAGGCCTGCACCACCACACCCAGCTTCTCTCTCTCTCTCTTTTAATGAGAAGTCTTACTGAGGTATAATTTACACATGATAAAATTTACTCATTTTTGGTGTGGGGAAAAATGCTTCTGAGATTTGAAAAATACACCCTCAGTCTTGTACTACCATCAAAATGGATCCATTTCTGACCACCTCCAAGGATCATGTACACCCCATCTCAGCCACTGGGTTCCAGAGAGCATTTTGTGCACTTTTGCACTTTCTTTTATAATTTTTTTATTTTATTCTATCCCATATGCATGGCGTGTTCTGCCTGCATGTATGTCTGTACACAGCTTGAGTCCTGGAGACTAGAAGAGGTCATCCGGATCCCCATAACTGGAGTTACGACAGCTGTGACCACCATGCTGGTGCTAGGAACTAAACTATCATGTCTTCCACATTTCTCCAGAGTGTTTTTGTTTTCTTTTTCTTTATTTGATCCTATATATGTGGGTGTTTTGCCTGTGTGCATTGTCTCTGCACCTCACACATGTGGTCCTGTGGAGGCCAGATAAGGGCATCAGATCTGTGGAACTAGAGTTTCAGATAGGCATGACACCATGTTGTAAAAGGAACTCTTATCCTCCTGATTTAATTGTTGTCTCTGAGGCCTACCGCCTCCTCCTGCTAACCTAGGCTTGGGAAGCTTCCAGCCTCCATACAATCTAACCTAGGCCTAGAATGTTTTCAGCCTCTGAGACTTACTGCTGAATAAGCTCACCCTTTCCTGTTCTGAGTTCAGGCTGGCTGGTTCAACTCAGCTGTTCTGGCTCAAACTCCATCTCCAAGCTGATGGAATTAATCTGGCTTCTCTCAGTTTCTTACTGAATCGCTCTGCTTAACCTCAAACTAACTCTAGCAATCGGTTCTAATCTTCTGGCTCCTCGTCCTTTGCTCACTCTGTCTTCACCTGTGTCTAGCTTTCTCTCTCTCTCTCTCTCTCTCTCTCTCTCTCTCTCTGCAACCTGTCTCTGAAAAACTCTGCTGGTAAAAGTGCCTCTTCCCTCTCTCCCTCTGTGTTGCTCTTCTAAGGCCTCTTTCTCCTGTTGTTTCTGATGAGAGTTGGGCCTATCCTATCTTAACTCATTCTGTCAAATCTTTCTCTGATTCATCACTTTATCGGCCTCTCAATTAGACATCACTTTCAAACATGGGTTCTTTCCTGTACAAACTAACTTTACCTTCATTGTTTGGGATTAAACGTATGTGGTACGGGCATGTCTGTACCCAGACAGAGTAGCCATGTTGCTGGATTACAATCCCTCTACACCATGTGGGCGATGGAGATCCACCTTGTTGCTGAAGCAGAATCTCTCATTAAGTTCCTGGAACTTGCTGATTTGTCTACATCGGCTGGTCAAAAAACTCCAAGGGCCCACCTGTTTCCTCCTTCCCATCTCTGGCATTACAAGCTCAGGTTGCCAAGCCTGGCTATTTTAAGTGGGTTCTAGAGATTGAACTCAGGTCCTTAATGCTCAAGTGGTCAACTGACTGGGCTCCTCAGCGTCCACCATCAGCACTTTCACTGTTATAACACAGGCCCGAGCCCCCAAACAGGGGCTCATTGTGTATCTGTGGCTGTGTCGGACCTCACAGAGATTCACCCGGCTCTGAGTGTAGGGACTAAAGTCATGTGCCAGGATCAGCCTGGTGTACAAGGACAACCAAGGCTACCCAGAGAAACCCTGTCCCAAAAAACCAAAACATAAAAATGAAATAAATGAAGGCCTGTGCCACTACAGCTGTGGGACAGATCTTAAAAGTGGAGCTATGGGATCAAAAGTGCGTCAGATTTCTGGGGCTGGAGAGACGGCTCAGGAGAGGACCAGGGTCTGATTCATAGCAAGTGTTCACACGTGCCCGTGACTCCAGTTCCAGGAGACTGGATGCCCTCTGCCTTCCGAGGCACTGGCACGCACGTGGTGCGTTTACATAAGCTCACAGGCGTATACACGTGCATAAAAACAAATAAACCTGATTCGTTTTTTCTTCTTTTTAATTTAAAAAAGTATTTATGTATTTTTTTTCTCAACATCGAAAGCTTTTTAATAACAGTAAAATCCGGGGTTAGTTTTTGTAGTCTTGGTTGACTCTTCGGCCTCTGGCATGCTGGAACTTCCGGCGCTTGGAGAGGACCTAAGGTTTGGTGCGGCTGTGTGGGGTCCCTGGGGCCTTGCCAAAATGCCGGTACACCTCTCGGCCCTTCCGAGGACCAGAGAGGAGCACGGTGCCTCAGCCCTAGGGAGACTCCAGGGCCAGCTGGTCAAAGGTGAGGCTCTCACCCCCAGCCCTGAGGGCGACTTCTGCTGGCTGCTCACTCGCAGTGCACACACCTTCAGCGTGGGCGCTTCTAGAATCCTCACAGCATCTGCGACCGTCCCCACAACCACAGCTGTTCCGTTCTCTCGGCCAGGAAGCTTCATCCTTCGGACCATGCGTGACAGGGACGGAGGTGGCCCGTTAGTGCGGCTCATAAATAACCTCTTCAGCACAACCTGATTGAAGGTGGAGTTGGTTCGTCGGGCCAGAAACCTGTACAGCTTGACCAGCAGCCGAAGGTGTATGTCCTGGCTTTTGGGCTCCTTGCGCTGAACCTTCAGGTCCTTGTTGTGGCGAATGTCAACACCCATGATGGTGCCTCCTGCTCGGCCAGGTCCAGACAGACAGACCCGCGCCGGATTTATATACACATGCTATACACCCACAGGCCAGCAGAGGGCGCCAGATCTCATTATAGATGCTTGTGAGCCGCCATGTGGTTACTGGGAATTGAACTCAGGACCTTTGGAAGGGCAGGCAGTGCTCTTAACCTCTGAGCCATCTCTCCAGACTTTTTGTTTTGTTTTGCTTTTTGAGACAGATTTTTCTCTGTGTAGCCCTGGCTGTCCTGGACTTGCTTTGTAGACCAGGTTGGCCTTGAACTCACAGCAATCTGCCTGTGTCTGCCTCCCCTAGTGCCGGGATTACAGGCGTGGGCCACTGCACCTGGCTGAATAATTTTTTTTTCTCTTTTAATTTTATCTGTATCTGTATGAGTGTTTTGTCTGCATGTCTGTCTGCACACCACTTTCATGCCTGGTGCCCATGGAGGCCAGAAAGCAGCCCTGGATCCCCTGAAACTGGAGTTAAGAGTGGTGAGCCATCGTGCAGGTGCTGGGAATTGAGCCCAGGTCCTTTGGAAGAGCCAGTGCTCTGAACCACTGAGCCATCTCTCCAGCCCCAAATAAATCCCCCCAAAAAGTTCAGTCCTGTTACATGACTCTTTTCTTTATATACGCAGCCTGATACATACATGTATGTATGTGTGTGTGTGTGTGTGTATGTATGTATGTATATATCAAGTTGCTTGTCATATAGCTAAGCTCACTACCGACAGAATTTGCCCTGAGGCTCAGAGCTGGGTCAATTCATTCTTCTGTTGGACAAAAGCCATCAGAATACTAAGATCAGACAAGGTCACAATATTTCGAGTCACCCCAACAGCTGCTGTCTGAGGAGGCTAGAAGAGGGCGTCCAGATGCCCTGGAGCTGGAGTTACCAAGTAGTATTGAGCTGCTATGTGGGTACTGGGCATTGAACCTTGTTTCTCTGCAAGAACAGCTACTGCTCTTAACAGCTAAGCCATCTCTCCACCCCATTTTAAAATTATTTATCTGTGCGCCTGTACCCTGGGAGCCCAGAGATGCCCTCTACCCCTGGAGCCAGTTACGACTGGCATAGCTACTGAGCCGTCCTCCCAGCTCGCACTATGAAAGGAACTAAGGTGGGTTTTGCTAGCTGTGAAGCTGGAGGAGCCTCAGATCAGGGGCTCGTCTCAGGTGCAGCAGGGGTCTTGACTGCTGCTGGACAAAGGCTTTCCGGAGACATTAGAATGAAAACGATACAAAAGCACAAGGCACACTTGTTATGCGGGGTAAGGAGGATGGGCTGTCAGACTGGTGTTCAAATGTGGTCGTGTACTCAGCCCTCAGATTCCTTCTCGGGTGATAGGATGAGGTGGTTTGTGAGCTGTAACGTGCAGGCGTGGGCCAAAAGCGTGAAAGCCAAGCATAGGTCACATACGGTTGACACGCTTTGTTCCCGAGCCTAGCTTCCTAGCCATTGTAATAATCTTGTCGGTGAGGCTTCTCGGAAAAGGGAGTCTAATTTCTGTGTAGTAGGTTTGGGGTGAGCCGTGCCAAAGTCGCTATTTTTTATTTATTTTTACTTTCTGTGTATGGGTGTTTGCCTGCAAGTACGTAAGGGCGCCACGTGTGTGCCCCGGAGGCCAGAAGAGGGCGTGAGAACCTCTTCAGCCGGAGTTGAGCCGGTTGTCGGGCGGGTGCTGAGATTCGACCTCGTGTCCTCTGGAGGAGCAGGGGCTGCCAACTGCGCAACTCTCTAGGCCCGGGTCGAAAGTCTTGACCACGAAAAGTTAACAAGAGCCTGATAAATGAGGGAACTTTTTCCTTGTGGACGTCTTGGCCTTTTGGTCTTATCAGCTTCACTAGCTTTACTAGACTCCCCCTGTCTACTCCGAAATTAATTCACGGTTTTTGTAGACAGGGAGGGTTCCTCTGTGTAGCCCTGGGCTGTACTGAAACTCTCTCTGTGGGTCCGCCTGCCTCGGCTAGGATTAAAGGCGTGCGCCACCACCTCTCGGCGAAACTCTGATTCTTGAACATGCAAGTTCAGCTACAATCTTTGGCTCTGACGATCCGTCCCTCACCCCCTTCTGTACTGAACTCAAGTGTTCCCAGGAGAGCGGCCGTGCCTTTCCGCCTCGCGGGGCGCCGCGGTCAGGGCGCTGGGGACTGCGGTCAACCCTGGCTTTGGGCGGAGCGCTGGCGCAGAGCCCGCCCCCGTGGGCGGGGCTGGGAGCGGGGAGGCGGGGACAGGGAGCAGCGGGGCGGGGCTGGGGTAGCGGGGGCGGGGCAGCGGGGCGGGGCTGGGAGCAGCGGGGCGGGGCTTGGGGCAGCGGGGCGGGGCGCCGCCTCAGCGTGCATCCTACCCCGGGTCTGCCCGCTGGAAGGGGCGGGACCGTCCTCTGCCGAGGTTTGGGCCTGCGCGGCCTCCGTCCCCAGCGGGTTCCGGAGAGGGCGCGGCCACCGCCGCGGAGTACACTGCTCTGCCGACCATGGAGTTCGACTGTGAGGGCGTGAGGCGGCTGCTGGGCAAGGTGCGGGCGGCTGCTGGGCAGGGTGCGGGCGGGACCCGGCGCTCCGGCCACCGCGCGTTGTCCGTCTGTGGCCCACTCCCCCGCCATATCCTTTTTTCCAAAATTGTGCTGCCTTGGCCGTCTGCTTTCGCTGTTGCCCCCTGCCGCGGCCTCCGGCGCTGGGGTCACAGGCTGGCGGCACACCTCCCCCGCTTTGAACGAGTCACTCCTGCAGATGACTCTTCCTGCTTTGGGCAATCCGGGCCATCAGCGTGGAAGCGATCCTCCGCCGCGCTTGCTGCGGAGCGCGAGTATCCCCCTCATTTAGCAGTGAGGCCGCTAACTACTGAGCCTACAGGGGTGGAGGGTTTCCTCCGTCCCCCAGGCTCACCCGCCCCCACCCCCCGCCCGGATGCTCAGCATTCCTGACTCTCGGCCGTCGGGCCGGGCTCCTCCAGAAGTCACCTTGTTAAGTGATCCTGGCTGCTCCGATTTCGCTGGAGGAGCCATCATCTGTGCCGATTTCCTTGAGCGTTGGGGTGTCCCTCTCTGTTTGGGACACTTTACACCTGAAAAAGTTTCAAGAACTCCCAAGATTGAAATCGTGTATGTAGTTGATTCAAATAGTTTTTACAGTTACAGGCGTAGGTTGATTGAGTTTGGTTGTAAACATTCTCATTTAAAAAGAAAAAGCCACACGTCTTTAATCCCGACACTCAGGAGGCAGAAGCAGGAAGCTCTCTAGAGTTCGAGGCCAGCCTAGTAGTCTGCATAGTGAATTTCTGGACATCCAGGGCTACATAATGAGACCCTGTCTCAAAATACTAAAAGAAAGAAAGAAAGTACTATTACTACCCTGCCTGTCTCCCTTTCAGGGGGTGTGAGCATTCCCTGGTGGAGGAATGTTTATATCGGAATTATTTATAAAACCCAAGCGTTCTTTGACAGGGATATTCTTTAGTTTATATATTTTTAAAAAATGTTATTATAGTCTAGTCCCTGATGGATCACCTTAAAACAAATATTTAATGTGAATGTTATTAAATTTTAGATGTTGCCAAAATGTAGCCAAAGCATTTGTGTGTGTGTGTGGGTGTTATCAGGGATTGAACATAGGCCTTACCGGCATGAGGCAGGCACTGTACCACTTTATCCTTAGGTGTAACATTCCATTTTTAAAGGTTTATTTTTATTTATGCGTGTGTGTGTGTGTGTGCATGTGTGCATGTGTATACTGTGTGTCATGTGTGGGTGCCCGTGAAGGCCAAAAGAGGTGTTAGAGTCCCTAGAAGTGAAGTTACAGGAGGTTTTGAGCCATCTAGTATGGGTACTAGGAAGTGAATCGGTCCTCTGGAAGAGTGTCAGGTGCTCTTAATTACAGAGCCTTCACCAACCTGTGGACCTTTTCTTTTCACTTAATTTTCTATTCATTAACTTACTTATTTTTACTTTTTGACAGTGTCATTATGTTCCTAGGTTGCCTGGACCTCTTTATCTAGATCAGGCAGGTCTGAAATGCACCAAGAGTCTCCTGCCTCTGCCTCTCAAGTGCTTGGGATCAAAGGCTTGTTGTGCTACCCTGAAACTGTTTTCCAGTGTAGCTGTATGCACAGCGGGGTGGCTAGGTGGTGGGGGTGATTTCCCCACACCCTCTCCAGCACTCACGTTGTCTCACTTTTGCTGTAGTTAATGATAATGCTGTGATTTCTCCAACCCTTTGTTGTTGTTGTTCATTTTCAAGATTATTTTGTCTGTTCTAAAGCCCATGAATTTTCTTGTTTGTGGTTTGGCGGTGAGGAAGGTGTGTTGCAGACAGAAACCAACCAGGCCTCCTGGATACCCTAAGCAACCAGGCCTCCTGGATATCCTAACCAGCCAGGCCTCCTGGATACCCTAACCAGCCAGGCCTCCTGGATACCCTA